GCCTGCAATGGCACGTGATCTGTGGGCAATGGCACGTGCTCTGTGGCTTGTTTTTGCCCAGGCGTGCGGTCGGGAGTGGCGAGCAGAAAGTTTTGCAGGCACGTTATTTCTGTGCTTTGCCCCAGGGCTTAGGGTTAGGATGTGAACATCTAAGTCGTAAACACCCTATGGTCCGAGGATGTAGGGCTTGAAAACCCACCCTACAGCCTAAACCCTAAGCCCTACAAACCTAAACCTTTCCTTGAAAGCCTTAGTGCGAGGACCCCCAAACGCTCATTATTCAAACCAACCCTGTCTTTCACGGCCCTTAATTAATGGCTACGACCCAGACTCTGATCCCTACCCTAGAGGCTCCGTAAATAACACTATTGTGGAAGTAGGCAGTAAAACCATAAGGATGGTCTTTTGGGAGTTGAGCCTTTAAGTATTATTGAAATAATTACCTATAGTATTTTGGGGGTTCCTGATTATTGCTATGGTGTAATATGGCCCAGAACCCTATTGCAATGAGGAAGGCCCCTGCATTACCAAAGCCCCTGAGTATCTAAGATCCGGCCCGTGCCTGCAAAGCGTCGCCGACACCCTTCTCGGAGAGCCAAGGTTTAAGCTTTGGGGCTTTGGGTTTTAGGAGGGACACAGTAGATGGAGCGACCTGAAGTTTGAATCGGGGTCGGTCGTCGCAGTCGGACCGAAAGGTTCGAAAGCCACATGATCGTTCATGCCTGCTGATATGACACCGCGGGCTTGAGAAGGCTGTAATTAAGTAGAGCTCGAAGTACAAGAGTGCCATATTAATAGGACCGAGGCAATGATTGACAAGGGGACTAGTGTGATTTTGGGCATGGCCTCAGCCTAGTATAATATAATTATACTACCTAGCCAAATGGAGACGAAACAGGCTGGCGACATTTTTCCAAAAGCTTTCGCGGTCGGTGTCGCTGTCGCAGTCATTGCTCCAGCAGAGAAGCCTTCGACGTGATACAAAAGGTGCCCCTGCCAGCGTTCTTGACTCAAATAAGACTCAAATCAACTCAAATTGTACTCAAGTCGTTTGGAATGCTGCACTGAAGATGAACTCAAGTGCTCTTGCGAGCTGGTCAGGCTGTCGGGTGAAGGCTGTGGCAACCAAGAAGGTGGTGGAGGCATTCTGCCTCCACCACCTTCTCGGTTGCCTTGCACGGCCGAGTGGCAACCAAGAAGGTGGTGGAGGCAGAATGCCTCCACCACCTTCTCGGTTGCCTTCTTCGCAGCTGCAGCCGCTGCCATGACCTCAGATCAGCAATCGTTTCGGGACAGTAGCACAGAAGGGCTTGATACTGATGACAGGCGTAGCTGCAAGAATTTGACTAAGTGCAGTTTACACTCAACACTGACACTCCAGGTAACTCAAATCAACT